AACAACCAACCACAAACCAACTCAAAACCCAGAGAGACACTTTTTCTCAGGGCGCATTGCCCAAGTTTCCTTGAGCCAAAATGATACCGGGTTCATTGACCCTTTTCCTTTCAACACCAACTCTTTCCTGAATACAAATTGCATCTCCGCACCCTAAACCCTAAACCCTAAACCCTAAACCCTAAACCCTAAACCCTAAACCCTAAACCCTAAACCCTAAACCCTAAACCCTAAACCCTAAACCCTAAACCCTAAACCCTAAACCCTAAACCCTAAACCCTAAACCCTAAACGAACCTCAAGCCTGCGGCCCTTACAGAGGTCTGGCATCCTCGGCCCGAAAAGCTTGGAGGGCTCCATCTTCATGACGGAGACCAACTACAAGAATTTCGAGGCGCCCTGCTTTCTTCTGTTGTTAGGGGTTTAGGGTTCAGGGTTTGTTTTTTAGGTTTTAGGGTTAGGGTTCAGGGTGTTTTAGGCCTTTTTTTTTGGGCATGGTTTCTCTCCATGGCTTGATCTTGCGTTGGAAAAAAAGGGGGGGCTGTTCAGTGTTTGGGTCTCAGGTGTCGCGTCGCTGCTTGTGGTTTCTTTGCCCCTGTGTCGGCATGATGGCGTTTGTGCTGGATGTCGAGTCTAGGACCCAGAGTAGGCCTTAGTCTTTTGTTTCATAGAGGGTCTAGACCAAAAAAGGGTGCCCTAAGAGCAAGGCTCGGTTAGCATGCAGTTCGCGAGGGCACGCGCCAGTTCCACGGGCTTTGGGGGTCGAAATTGCGCTCCTGTCTCCGCGGGGGCTTGTCCGCAGTAGTCGGGGCGCCCACTAGGTTGTAAGGTTTTTCTGCTGTCGTCCGACATGACGAATCGCGATACATGTGGTTTCAAAGCACGCTCTTGCGGACTCCTGCCGTCCAATGCAGTCCCTCCGCCCCGTGAATTGCAGAACTGTCGTTACTTTTTGTAAGCGTCGCGTTTGGCTTCGAAATTGTGCTTAAGCCTGCCTCTTGTGCACACTCCGTGGTCGACGTCGTGGTTTCACCTCGGATTCTGCTCGTGAAATCTGCAAAGCTGTCTGCTGTTGAGCCTTTGATGTTGCTCCTGTGAGTGGCACTTGCAATGTGCCACTGTCGCGCCCGTGCATTGTTTGGCATCCACAGCTCCGTGCCGCAGTCTTTCATTCTTGGGTCGTGCGCGCCCGGAGCACTGTTGCTGCAGGGTTCTGGGGCTTCAGGCGCGATGGAAGGTGGAGAGCAAGCATGCAGTTGTTGGGGATGGCTGGCGGTACCAGAAGGGGCCACGAATTCATGCTTGACGGTTTAGGGTTTAGGGTTTAGGGTTTAGGGTTTAGGGTTTAGGGTTTAGGGTTCAGGTTTTGGCTGCAGTTTTTTTTTTTTTCCCGTAGCCTTGGTCCCCTAAGTCGAGGTCCCAAAGCGGCCCTGAGGCTTTGACCCCCGCTGCCCCTGAAACCCTACTGAAACCCCAAACCCCAGCAAGCCTCTGAGCTCTCCACCCTATAAGGCGTGGGACTTCAGGGTTCAGGGTTTAGGGTTATAGAGTTTCAGGTTCCAGATACTGCTCAAGAACTTTTTCAGACCCCAAATCCTTTAGCTTCATGATCCGTTTACAAGCACTGCGCCCTGAAAGCCGAACTTTTACAGGTCTCAGGGTTTAGGGTTTAGGGTTTCGGGCTTAGGGTTTTACAGGTCTTAAACCGGCGAAACCCTGAACCCCAAACCGTCATTCCCAGCACCCGGCAGGTCGGCCTTGACACCCTGCAGCACCTGATGGAGGTGCTCTGTTTAGTGTTCAGGGTTTAGGGTTTAGGGTTTAGGGTTTAGGGTTTAGGAGTGGGGCGGGCAAAAGAAGAGGCGGTTCCGGTTTTGGCGTTTAGGGTTTTTTAGGGGCCGAAGTCCACTGCCAGAATCCCCTAAACCCTAAAATGCAAATATGTATTTATATGTACATATTCTGTACATGTATGTACGTATGTATGTATGTATGTATGTATGTATGTACATATGATTTTATGATAGCTGTATGTATATATATATATAAATATAAATATATCATGTCAGAAATCATAAGCCAAAAACACGCATGTAGAGCAATAGATCAAACGACGTCGACCCTGGAGCCTTCGTCCAGGATGGCGCCGTGCGCGTCTACGACCGCTTCCTGGTCGCGCGCGCGAAGGGGCAAGGGCTGAAGTTCCAGATCGACGGCGCGCCCGGGGGGCGTCTGGTTCTGGTTTGGGGTTTGGGGTTTGGGGTTTAGGGTTTAGGGTTTAGGGTTTAGGGTTTAGGGTTTAGGGTTTCAGGTTTCGGGTTTCGGGCTTCGGGTTTCGGGTTCAGCGTTCAGTTAGGGTGTTTTAGGGCTTAGAGCTTGGTGGTTTAGAGCTTCTTGGGGGTGTTTAGGGTTGTTCGGGTTTAGGTTTAGGCATGGCTTAGGGTGTGGGATAGGCTTGAGGTTCTAGCGGGTCTAGTTTTTAGCTCTCCAGGACAATTTGGAGTTTGGGATTGCTTTGGGGCTTCGGTTAGTTTCGAGAGATCTAAGTTTCGGATCTCTACAGGGCCTTTGCTTGACATCCCAGCCAGGATTTAGGGTTTAGGGTGGCAGACAGGCTGCCAAATTGCTGAAGCCTTTTCAGCCCTGAAGCGCCCAACTCGGCAAACCCAGGCCCTGCAGAGCTAAAGCCTAAGCACAATAATTCCAAAACCCACACACGAAAGCTAAACCCACTTCCTTCCACCCTAAACCCTAAACCCTAAACCCTAAACCCTAAACCCTAAACCCTAAACCCTAAACCCTAAACCCTAAACCCTAAACCCTAAACCCTAAACCCTAAACCCTAAACCCTAAACCCTAAACCCTAAACCCTAAACTTTAAATTTAAACTGTAAACCCTAAACCCTAAACCCTAAATCCCAGCCCAAGAACCCGTTCCATCCACTCTACTCTTGGACCCGGAGTCTAGATACAGCGACCAAATTGAGCCGTGCGCAGTTCGACCTTGATCTCGGCACCCATACATCCCTGAACCGCCTCTAAACCCTAAACCCTCTACACCCTAAGCCCTAAACCCGAAGACCCCAAAATCCCAAACGCACAAACCTCAAAACCCTAAACCCTGAACCCTAATGCCCCAAACCTCAACAGCCTAAACCCTAAAACCTCCCTAAACCCGAAAATCCCTCAACCCCAACCCCGAAATCCCTGGAGCCTAAAGTCCCTGAACCCTAGAATCCCTGAACCCTGAACCCTAAAGCCTGGAAGCCCTCAACCTTCAACCCTAAAGTCTCCCAACCCCCAAAAATGTCCAAACCCTAAACCCTAAGATCCCTAAACCCCAAGATCCTTCAACCCCAAGATGCCTCAACCCTAAAATCCCTCAATTCTAAAAATCCCTCAACCCTAAACCCCAAACCCTAAGCCCTAAACCCTGAACCCTAAACCCTAAACCCTAAACCCTAAACCCTGATTTCCCTCAACCCTCCAGCCCGGGCCAGGCCAGCGGGATCAGCGAGCCCTGGTGCGGTTGGCGGGAGTCCTAGAGTGAGGGTTGAGGGTTGAGGGTTGAGGGTTAAAGCGTTTAGGGTTTAGGTGACAAGTTGGTATTGGGTTTAGGGTTTAGGGTTTAGGGTTTAGAGCTTAGGGTTTAGGGTTGAGGGTTTAGGGTTTAGGGTTTAGGGTGATAGGGCGTAGATGCTGTGAAGGTTAGGTTTCGGAACAAGCTCGAAAGCTTCGTGAGGTGCTGAAGAGCAGCTTTGGCCCGATTGTGGAGGGCCATCTAACACTTTTCTCCCACCCCACGCCGTCCAAGGCGGCAAAGCCACCCAAACCTATTCCTTTTAGGGTTTAGGCCTAAACTCAGACAACAGTCCACTTTTCAAAACTTTGATGTTGGTTGAATCCGAGAGTCAAGCGTGCCAGCAAGGTCTCGAAGGTAAGATAGAGGCCCCGAAGCCGGCGTGGCGGGTAAAGAGGACAGGCTGCCAGCCCAGGATGGCAGGGCCAGACAGGTCACGGGGGGGGTGGAAGGGGCCACCAGGTCAGAGAGGCCAGATCACCAGTGGCGCCACAAATCCCAGTAGGGGCCAGGGAGGGGGGCTCAGGGGGGGTCAAGAGAGCCAAGCTTCCCAAAGAGAGGACCCAGAGTTTAGGGATTTAGGGCCTTGGCCGCGAGTCGAGGTCCTGAACCCTAACCACAGGACCATGCAACCCTTCTCCCTGGGCCCTAAACCCTATGCCGCCCAGGCCATAAGGGGTTTTTGGGTTTTTTGGGGTTTTCAAGGTTTTTTAGGGTTTTTCAGGGTTTTTAGGGTTTTTTGGGTTTTTAAGGGTTTTTAGGGTTTAGGGTTTGGGGTTATCCCAAGCCCTCAACGCCTGAACCCAAAAACACCCAATCGATTCTCTTCTGATGCAGCTCGAAGCTGCACTCGTCGAACAGACGTCGAGGTCGTGTTCCCAACTCCTCTCTCAACACGCCTCAAACACCGGTGGATCAGACTATGTGGGAGCAGCCCCTGTTATGCCCTGAGGCCCGCCCTGAGTTCGGGGCTTGGGGCTGAGGACCCCCTAAGAACCCAAACAACCCTACTCCTCCCCCCCCCCCCCTTCCCCCAAGCCGAAGAAACCCTAAGCCTAAACCCTAAACCCCAAACCCTAAAAAGGTCTAGGCTTTAGGGCTTAGTTGTTTTTTTCGAGGGGGAGCGTATGGTGAGACGACCTGGGTAGGCGTAGTTCACTGGGGGGACCACATGTTGTCCTCCACATCCGGAGTTTCCAAGGGCACGGCGCTCGAACTAAGGGCAGCCATGGAGTAGGGTTTAGGGTTTAGGGTTTAGGGTTTAGGGTTTAGCGTTTTGGGGTTTAGGGTTTAGGGTTTAGGGTTTAGGGTTTAGGGTTTCGGGGACCAGTGGCGTGGAACTTTGGATGTGTGACCACACCGCCAGACGGGCTGTGCCTCGTGTGCTTTTTAGCCTTGCCGCACGCAACCCCTGCCTGTGGATGGCATGGTCCCGTGATGACATGGGCTTTTTCCGAGATGCCGCGACCGAGGAGGAGGTCCCCTAAACCCTAAACCCTCAACCCTCAACCCTAAACCCTAAACCCTCAACCCTAAACCCTAAACCCTCAACCCTAAACCCCTCAACCCTAAACCCCAAGCCCTAAACCCTAAACCCTAAACCCTAAACCCTAAACCCTCGTTTCAAGGCCTGCATGATGCGCGCCTTCGACCAGAAGGCAGGATCCGAGGTGGCCGCGGCCTGGCGGCGCCTGGCGGAGCCCAGGCCTGGTTTAGGTTTAGGGTTTAGGGTTTAGGGTTTAGGGTTTAGGGTTTAGGGTTTAGAGTTTAGGGTTTAGGGTTTAGGGTTTAGGGTTTAGGGGTTATAGGGTCTAGGGTTTAGGGTCTAGGGGTTATAGGGTTGAGGGGTTTTTGGGTTTAGGGGTTTTTGGGTTTAGGGTTCAGGGTTCCAGGCTTTTGTGTGGTTTTTAGGGCTTTTAGGGTTTAGGGTTTTTAGGGTTAGGGTTTAGGGTTTAGGGTTTAGGGTGTTCGTTCCAGGGGGGTTTGGGGGTGGTGGGGGGATGGCGCTTTCTGATCCTCAAGGCTGTGTTTGCTTTGGCTTGCCGGGGCTTCAAACCTTGGTTCAGTTACTATTTTGTGAGGTTTTAATGAAGAACCAAACAAAACAGCTCTTTTAGCTATCAATGAAAGACTAGACTTTAGAGGAATGACCGATGCTGCTGGAACATTCGGTATTATCCATGTAACATAGTCTATATATATAGATATATATATTACATAATAGAACTAATAAAAATAGCATAGATACTAATATACCAACTAATCCTAAAGAATTCAATCACTGCACCCCGAGCCCTACAGGGGATCGTCCCTTACAGGCATACGAAACCCTAAAACCGAAACCCTAAACCGTCCCTAAACCCTAAACCCTACACCCTAAACCCTAAACCCTAAACCCTAAACCCCAAACCCTAAATCCGGAACCCTGAACCCGGAAACTTCCAAGGGCATCCTGAGTCCAAGAACCCCTAGAAGTCCGAAACCCGCTGGGCATTGTGGGAGGCGAAATCGTCTCGTCGACTTCCTGAACGCCGACGGCATCAAGACCACGCTGGGGACTCAACATGGCGCAGGGGCCCCCCGGAAGGGTTTAGGGTTTAGGGTTTAGGGTTTAGGGTTTAGGGTTTAGGGTTTAGGGTTTAGGGTTTAGGGTTTAGGGTTTAGGGTTTAGGGTTTAGGGTTTAGGGTTTAGCCTGAACTTCGATCTAGGCCCCCGCCATGACTTTTCTTGGGCTCTACACCCGCTCTCTGTGCATATCTCTCCCTCCCTCCCTCCCTCCCTCCCTCCCTCTTCCCTTTGCATGTATACATAGATGGATAGATGTATGTCTATACAACGGTACAGGTCGCTTTGCTCAAAGAGAGGTGGCGACTTGCCACATCCACAAATTTTGTCGAGCTTGAGGTGGGGGGGAAGGCACAGGTACGCCCCTCAACCCCTCAACCTCACCACCTCATCAAGCCCTCTTACATAAAACTCAGTCTCGGAAGCCCCTCAACCCTAAACCCTAAACCCGAAACCCTTAACCTTAAACCCCAGATGGCAGCTGATGTTGGCTGCTCTCTGCTGGGGAGTTTGGGCGTGGCTTCGAGTTTCGGATTGCAGTCTGAAACCGAACCTGTTCTCGGGTTTCGGGTTCTTGGGATCCAGGGGAGGGCTTTAGGGGACCTGGGCTTAGGGTTTAGGGTTTAGGGTTTAGGGTTTAGGGTTTAGGGTTTAGGGTTTAGGGTTTAGGGTTTAGGGTTTAGGGTTCTACCTTGGCCACTCTGGGCTGGATCGCCCTAGGAGACCGCGCGATCTCCTCAAGCTCGAAACCTGCGTAAGCCTTGGCCCTACTCTTCTCTACCCCAAGCCATCCAAAGGTCCTAAACCCTGTACAACCCTAAATCTAAACCCTAACCCTAAACCCTAAACCCTAAACCCTAAACCCTAAACCCTAAACCCTAAACCCTAAACCCGAGACCCTTCACACAAGACAGGCCTGGATTCCTCCTGTACAACGCCCCGGCTTATCTGGACAGCGCCAAGCAGAACCCAGGCCCCCTCATAGCTCTATTCTCCTTCGGGGGAGGGCACCACAAAAGAGATTTAGGGTTTAGGGTTTAGGGTTTAGGGTTTAGGATTTAGGGTTTAGGGCTTAGGGCTTAGGGCTAGAAAAGCAGCATGTAATTGCGGGCTGGTGGGGCTCAGTTTTCCGAAGCACCAAGCACCCCAAAGCCTGTGGTTTCAGGCTGCGGGTGTTGCGGGGGCTGCCTCAGAAGGGGCCGTGTGTGACACACACCGTAGACATACATCGCAAATACACACCAGATGGTAAGGTTTAAGGTGTATGGGGCTTTCGGGGTTCAAGTAAGGTTATGCCCTTCATCCCACAAGCTTCAACCTCATGCCGAGCATCGCCAGGCAACTTTCCCATGGAG